CTTGATACCGAAAAATTGCGCTTTCTCAATTATCAATTTGAATTGTATGGTGAAAATACATCTCTCATCAATGATGTGCGTGCTCGTATCAAACAACAACAAATGACCAATGATGAACGAACTAAATTACAGCGCCTTCTTGGAGTGATGAGTAACGATGATATTCTTAATTATCTCGGCTCACTTGACTACGTGTTTACCTATTTACGAAATAGTGTACCGGAGCATGCTTTAGAGACTACAACGATTCAAACATTCGTCGAATATCATATTCATTCATATGCTTGTTTAAATGATAATATACTTCGTCGACCACCATTTTCTACCATTCAATTACAGTATATTATTGATCTGTATGAAAGAATCGAAGAAAATGCTTTTGATAAAGTGTTACGTGCTTATGTGAAAAAAGAACTCGTAGAAGAAACATTTACAGACAAAGAACGTGAACATGTCCTCCATGTATTTTCTCGTATGACATTTGAAAAAGAAACAATTGCTGAAACATTGAAAAGTATCGATAGTTGGATTTCCATGCTCAAACGGTTGATGATTCGTGTATTGAATGCTAATATTAGTCTCGATGTCCCATTACAACTCTATCTTGAACGAACCGATCTATGGAGCGATCGTGTGAGTAATCTCGATTTGGACACTTTTCAAGTCGATGATGATATTCTTCTTCAACATACCTATGTCATCTTACGAGGTTTAGAAACGAAGCAAAAGAGAAATAATCAGTTAACACAACAACAGCAACAAAAAATATCGGAAATTCAAAGTATAGAAGGACAACGAGAAAAAGTTCAGACTTGGTTCGATACAACAGCTAGAGTGACAACTGGACCTAAAGTACTGAAACCAAAGATTCGTGTGTGATCTATTGCTATTTATGTAATTCACTAATAAACATAATTAAATAACTTTTAAAATTAGATTGTGACTGTAAGCGTGGAGACCTATATATTCTATTCTCATAAGAATTCATAAACTCACATGTCCATCAATTTCAAACTACTATGTAGATTTGGTTCGATTCTTTGCAAACTCATAAAAGAAACATGAATCATATCTGTAAGTTGCCAGAATTATCGAACAGGGCGGAGCTTACTAATGGATATCATTTTCTTGGAGAGGTAGGTTATTCTAGTGGGCGAGAGGTGTGGATGTGTAAGTGAGTGTGGGCTTGGGTCAGGGTTGCCAGATTGTCCGAATTAGTCTGAATTTTCAGACTTTTCTAAGTTTTTCAGACTGCGTTCCGACTGTCCGAATTTATCCGAATTCTCGGATTTTTTCCGAATCGTAGTATTTTTTTTAAATTTCCCGTCCATTACAATTTTCCATATATATTTTGATAGATTTCATATGGCGCCATCTTTATTTTCTTATAATCATTGGGTAATTGATTGTATTATTAGAGATAAGAGGAGAAGAGAGAGAAGAGAAGATTTAATATAATCTTTTTTTCAAAACTTTTCAAATGTTTTTCAAATTTATTAGAATAGCTTCAATCAATATTTAGTCAAATGAATCATCTATGGTCTAATTATCGCAATCGAATGGATATAGAATTAGTTGAAGCTGAACTACAAATCCGAATGAATTCTGATATTCATTGTTCACGTTTTTATGACTTTCTTTTAATTCAAGACGAAGTATTGACAAAAATAGCTTCAAATGAAAAAGTTGTTAGAAAGACACGTCTTGATAAATGAACTTTAGTGTTTCTCCATAAGTGTTTTGAATTGTATATATACATATGTATAGATAGTGTATTTTGAGTTGTTTTTCTTGTATTAACAGTATCTTCTTGAAAATGATGTTTCCTAATGGTGTTATAATTAACCCTTTGGGGTCGGCGTGGTATATATACCACTTAACGTATTTTACAAAATTTGAGAATGATATATATTTCAAATCAATCAGAACTGAGTGGAAATAACCTGTAGAATAATATGATTGTATCTGTACAATAAATTACCAGTATTCGAAAAGTGTCGAAAATATCTACACTATTTATATGAAACGTAAAATTCAAAGAATTTACAGTTAAAAAAGGTTCGTGTTCAACTGATAAAAAATATACTATGTCAAACTATGGTTATCAAAAACGAATTTCTATCGGAAGACCATCAATTGATTCACCGCTATGTTTATCTGCTAGACATTTTCCAGCACTTGCATTCTAAACTATCTCAAAAATAACTACTCAACGGAAATGTCATGTATCTTCTCATACAATAAAGCGTGAAAAGTCAGTCAAATATAGAAGATATCAGTGTGAAGAATGTGATATTGGGTTATACGTGATTGATTTTTTTAAAACTTATCATATCCTAGAACACTTTTGATAATGATTTTTAATTGAATAAATATATATCCTCACTAATAAAAATTTTAATTTTTTCTCGAAATCCCCGTCTCCAAAGGGTTAATACATTTATTTTAACATTGATGAAATATATCTACAGAAAGAATAACGAAATGCAGAAGACTTTTGTTAGAAAAAATTCCCTTAAGCGTCAAAAAGCTTAAAAATAACTTTCCGAATTTTTTTCCGAATTAAGCAGATATTTTGTCCGAATTTTTCAGAATTCCAGCAAAAGAATTCCGATTTGTAAGATTTCGATCTGGCAACCCTGGCTTGGGTGGGTGTGTCTGTGGGTGTGGGTGTCAATGTAGAAAAGACCCAGATCCACACCCACATCCCATAAAACACATGAGTTACAAAGTATTATTAATGGTACTTGTATTAATGCTTCAACCTAAAATTAAAAAATCACGAATTTTTCAACACAATTAAATAGAATAAATATAAAACAAACTTGTTTTTCAAGATAAGTAGCAACAGTAGTAATATGTGTATTTATTTGTTTAACAAAAAAATTATCCGCTGTTTCAAAAACCACTCCATAAGTTGATCCCTCGGTTTCTTTATTTGTACTTTTAGTAACATTATCAATATTTGGACCAGTGCCTTCACCAAATAAACAAGTTGAAAGGTAGAATAAAACAAAAACTAAATTATTAAAATAAAAATTTTCTTTGTTTTTTTAATCGTTGTTTTTGAAAATCATATTGAGTTTTACTTGATATTGTATCATTACGGTTTAAATGTCTTTTGAATCTATATGTTGATGATGGACGAGAGAACGATGAACCAATATTTGCTAATTTTGATGATAATAATCTATATCTATTTAATAGTGCTTGTAAAAAAATGAAACTGCCATCATATTTATTGCGTTTGCCAATTATGAACAGTTTTCTTCTAATTTGCTTAAATTTTGTTCACAAGTCAGAACATAGCCTCCTCGTTACCATTAAAGTCATATGTTTGTTAAAAATTTTTAATATTTGTTGTAAAATCCTCTTCGGAACAACACGATTGTATGTTGCCGACTATATTTTTCAAATTTCAAATATAGTTAATTATTTAATTCTCATATTTTTACTTTATCGAGAGTTGTTATGCCAAAAAAAAATTAAAAAAACAATCAATAATTTCTGCAGTAATCTATTAATCAATATGACCAATATATTCAACTTTCTTACAGTATATTTATTTATTGATAACAATGTTTACAACAGTAACATTTACAATGAAAAAAAATACGAGAGGAATTTTTCTGAACGAACAAATGGTTCTTGTACAATAAGACATTTTGGGTGTGGGTGTGGGTGCAGATGTGGGTGTGAATATAGCTACACCCACACCCACACCGACACCCTCACCCACCGACACTCATTCACAAACCCGCATCTATTCACACTCCCACATCCACACTCACTCACCCATACCCACACCCACCGGCTGACAAATCAAACATCGTCATTTTCCATGATAAAGTTGCGCTATGTTTATTTTATAACGAAGACATCGATGAACTTTTGTCCGTCACTCGCTTTCGCTCGAGTTAATACTGGAAAGAAAAATGTTGCTTTTGTAGCTCAGCTATTTGCGTATTAGTGAACTACTTCAAGAAAAAAAAAACAAACATCCATACACATTCTGAATGGAAACTATGTGACTATTGGCCCTTTTTCTTTGTCATTCTTACCGAACAAAGATTGGTTCCATAGGATGTAATAATGAAAAGTATGTTTCTATCAATACAGTAGCCCATAGAGAGTTATTGTCGAAGAAAAGCAATGATGGTTGCGAACACAGGGTGGGTGTGGGGTCTGGGTGTCGGTGTGTGTGGGTGTGTGTGGGTGTCGGTGTGGGTGTGGGTGTGGATGTGGGTGTGGGACTTTCATTGCGTCACGTCTATAACGACACTCACACCCTTGTTTGTTTATTTTATATGTAGATCTTAAAGCTGCTGCTGTTGATGCAGCAACCGAACTTTGACTACGAGTGATAACCATTAAGAATATTTGAAATTAAAGTAAATGCAGATTCAAACGAGGAAAAAGATTCTATTCATTTGAATTCTTATCTAGAAATAAGAAATAACAGCAAAGTGCACTTTCTTCTTAATGATAAAATATTTTTGGAGTCTATAATCTTCACTTCTTTATGAGAACTTAGTCTGGTTTATCTTCAATACTAAATTGTTTGTACAACCAATCATATCTGAACGAAAAGACTTTGGTACATACACTATATAGACTATATAGTGTATAACCTGTATAACCTTGCAATAAATATTCTTGTTATCAATCACTTCTTTCGTAACTGATGATGTAAGATGACCGAAATGTGACCACGCAAGAGATTGACTGGCCTTGAAAGGACGGGGTTTGACGTGAACATCTCGAACATAATGCGTCATCCTAGCGGATAGGTATGTATTTCCTCGCTTGTTAGATACAATATAATGATAGCAATTATGGTATTCGTGTGAATGGAAGTGCAATGCAAAGCGTCTATTTATACCATTTTGGCCATATTGTTCTAACTCCAAACTTGATCGACGGCGGCGGCGGAAAAATTCTCGCCGAAGCGCCACCTTCGGCGGCGGCGGCGAAAAGTCGGCGGCTAACATGTCTATATATAGGATTTCATTTGTACAGAAGTCACCGCCATCTATCAATATTATGAATATATTAAGAGACGACAGTTAGAAACAACTTTTATAGTTACTAAAGTATACAGAACAGCGATAGAGACACAAAAATGTCTCCTGATATAATTATGAATGTGCTAAGTAAATGAATGCTTTTCTTCTATAGAAAAACAGAAATAAAAGTCTTTATATCCATTACGATCTTCCAATGAATCTTTTTTTACGAAGTGCCGGTCAATGTTATTCCGGTCATCCGGTTGTTTTTTTTGTAAAATGCATTATTCCGAACATCTGACCTTATTCATCACGATCTCCGGACCTGCATCAGATATATCAAGAAATATTCTATTTCGAACATCCGGTCAAACCATTCCAATTTTCCTGCTTTTCTATTATGATCTTCTGTCCACGAATGTTTACGAACTCCAGTCAAAGAAAAATTCATTTCCGAACATCCGAACGCATGTCCGGAGTTCGGAATGAGGTGAGACGAAGTGTCCTTCACCCACACCCACATCCTCATTCAAAGAGTTATCGACCTAATTCATTCGATCGATGAGCTTGTTTTCTATTTTTCGTTTCTGTATGGATGCTATGAGTTATTGTTACAATGGAACAGAAAGAATAATTCATATATTCACAAAGAAACGTCTCAATCAGTCCTCAAGCTTCTCGAGCCAGTCGGATGGCCCTCTAATCTGACACAGAAATTCTTCTTATTGATTTCAATGCAAAAAATATCGAAAAGGTCTTCCTAATACGACCGAGAGGCTTAGTCCCTTTGCTTATTATCAACAAGATAGAGTTTCTGTGTACGCACGCGCATATCCTTTTAAGTCAGTTTTCTCTTCAAACTATTTATTTTCGAATAAACAAACAAACAATCGTTTACAATTTCTTTTTAACGCGCTCGATTTTTTTGCGCAAACTTAGAAGATGAGGATGATTTGCAAGTACTGGACGTTGTAAAATATCCAGAGCACGTTCATAATACGAAAGTGCTTTCGAGTAGTCCCCCATGTTTTCATACACCAATCCGATGTTATTGTAGGAACAAGCTATATCAGAATGATTTGCAGGAAGAGTTTTTTGGTAGATTTCCTGTACTTTTTCATAATACAAAAGTGCTTTCGAGTACTCGCCCATCTTGTCATACACCACTCCGATGTTGTTGTAGGAACAGGCTAAATCAGAATGATTTGCAAGAAGAGTTGTTTGGAGAATTTCTAGTGCTTTTTCATAATACGAAAGTGCTTTCGAGTACTCGCCCATATTGTCATACACCGATCCGATGTTGTTGTAGGAAGTCGCCAAACTGGGGCGATTTACAGGAAGAGTTTTTTGACAGATTTCTAAATCTTTTTCATAATACGATAGCGCTCTTGAGTATTCGCCCATGTTGTGATACACAAATCCAATGTTGTTGTAGGAAGTCGCCAAACTAGGATGATTCGGAGGAAGAGTTTTTGTTTTGATTTTCAGCGATTTTTCATAATACACAAGTGCTTTCGAGTACTCGCCCATCTTGTCATACACCCCTCCGATGTTGTTGTAGGAAAATGCAAAATCAGGATGATCTGCAGGAAGAATTTTTTGTTTAATTTCTAGGTCTTTTTCATAATACGAAAGTGCTTTGGAGTACTCGCCCATTTTTTTATACACAAATCCAATGTTGTTGTAGGAAGTCGCCAAACTGGGATGATTTACAGGAAGATTTTTTTGTCTGATTTCCAGGTTTTTTTCATAATACGAAAGTGCTTTCGAGTACTCGCCCATCTTGTCATACGCCAGTCCAATGCTGTTGTAGGAAGTGGCCAGATCAGTATGATTTACAGGAAGATGTTTTTGTTTGATTTCCAGTGCTTTTTCATGATATGAAAGTGCTGTCGAGCACTCGCCCATCTTATCATACACCCCTCCGATGTTGTTGTAGGAAGGTGCAAAATCAGGATGATCTGCAGGAAGAATTTTTTGCTCGATTTCTAGGGATTTTTCATAAAATGCAATTGCTTCTGTATATTTTCCTTGATTCTCCTTGACCAATCCGAGCTGATGATAAACAACTGCTTTCTTACGCTCATCATTTGTTTCATCAAGCAATATTTCATATAATTCTTCGGCCTGGTTGAATTGGCCTACTTTTATCATTAATTTACCAAGTCGATCCCATCCTGTAGATCCCGTAGTTTCTTCTCGTATGCTATTAGTCACGTCATGCAATTGTGGATCGTTGTCGCTAGTCAGGATTATATCTACTTGCCAGAGACGAGGATTATTGTCTATTTGTTCAATTTGTTGAATGCGAAAGATCGAATGCATAGAGAAGAGAATTTCTTCTTCTCCTTGAAAATAACTGACATCGCGAATATTGGCAAAAGGTGTTGACGAACTGGAAGGATCAACAGTTATTTGAAATAGAACACCGATCAAGTCAAGATTATCTTGATTGCTGTCAGCGAAGGCTGAAGACACTGCTCGATCAAGGCTTGTCGACAAAAAATTATTAAAGGACATCAGTCCACCTTTTGTTTTCACGAGTTGGTCAAAATCCGTCTGAGACAAACCTTGACCGCGGAACACGGTAAATGTGGTAGAGTATTCATGACTAGCATACTGTTCTGAACGCAGTTGGACGATCTGTTCGTGAAGATCTCGGACGAAGAAGCCCATCTTAATGATGAGATCGACTTCCATTGTACGTAATGCTCGATTAAGCATCGAATAGATGATGTAGTGATATGTATACCACCAGATGGGAACGTGGTCGCGGTACTCTCGTTCAAGTTTGTCGATATTGTTTAATTGGGCAATATTGCCAGCGAGTTTCTCGCGACAGTAGGTAATAAATTCCACGAAATGTTTTGGTTCGAAGTCAATACTCAATAAAATTTCCTTCAGTATCTGCGTATACATGAAGGTTGGATCAAGTTGATCCAAATTTTGAGTGGCGCCTCCACTGCTCGGCGCGACAAAACTCAGGGAGATTGAGTTTTGGTCATACTCTTGAGCTGCCTGTTTGAGTGCTTCACATATTGGTGTAATATCCGTGAAGACACCCTTTACTTTGGGCCATTGTGTGGCCCATTGTTCATGACGTATCTTTTCTCCACATAATACGTACATAGCATGTACTTGAGCTATCTCATGTACAACAGTAGCCGTTGTTTGACCTAGTGCACCAATAGAAATCATGAAGAGCTTTTCTTCTTTGATGTCAGTAATGAAGTCAATACATTCATCAACATCAGTGAATATATTGACGGTGTTTATCACTTGCCATAATTTGGTGATCATATTATGGTAATCTTTATTGTTTGTTTCATCTATACTTTCATCCAACCATACCAGATAGAAGTTTTGTACCATACGAGCATGAGATAGCCGAGTGGGTCTCATGTCCGCATGTTCTTTCAGTGTTGCAGCAGCACCTTGTGGTTCACTAACTTTTTGGTTTGACTTTCCAGTAGTGATAAGACTACTGATCATTGAAGTGGGCTTTCTCTTGTTGTCCATGACGTGTGAACTCGATGAATGAAATAAATATTGGTGATGTGAAAGTGAAACAAATTACTATTTGTACGATGTGGATTTATTCTAGATTTTTCTATTTGTTGTTATCGTTCGTTTTTATTCTCTGTCTCCTCAAGTGTCGCAACCTGATGGACGAACGAAAAAAAAAGATATTAAATTTTTGTAATTGTCGTTGCTGATAAAAGGAAAGAATCCGAGAAAAAAACCTAGGCATTCTCTTTCCTTTTCTTTCCGTGACTCCTTCAAGAGCTTCTGTCTTTTTCTCTGTTGCGATATGTTTTGTTACATAGATAAGAATGAAAAAGTCATCTTTCTTGTTTCAAAGTACTTTAAAGTGAAATTCAAAAGTGCTCATATTGTCAAAAAAACAAGAGTCTGTAACATAATTATTACAGTGAAATATTAGTCGAAGAAAAATGTTAATTATTTTGCTATTTAAAAAAGATCTTTATGATTCACATCGAACACTGTTTTAGAGTTTTTTCGAACATATTATCCGTCGATGGTTATTTCGCTTTTATGTTTACTGAGGAATTCGATATTACAACAAAAAACGAGAATATGTCATGCATTGTTATTATCGTAGCTCAGTTCTTTGATTATATGTATGTGTGTGTGCAGAAAGTGTCAAGAGCGAATTCTGAAGAATATGAGAACATGACTTCGTTCTCTTTCTTCCTCTTTTTCGTGCTCTGTCCTTTATTTCTAGTTGTATAAAAATTAAAGGAATACTTTTTTTTACAATTTTTGAGTTTATAACGCAAAAATATTGTGTTTCCAGTTTGAAATATAACCAAATTGGAACTTGTGAGCTTAGGAAAACACAATCAGCATGTGTTCCAACAATTTATTCACTAAAAACCAACAAATAGAACCAATGATTAAGAATTTCTTTTCAAATATTCTCTACCGTGTGCTATAGAAAAAAATAAGAAAGCTTGTCAGCGTAACCCCTTTGGGACTAAGCAAGTGAAACATCTATAACAGACGACAGTTACTTTTCAAGAATAAAAGATCGTCAGAGACACGAGGGTGTGAGATGTGAGCGGATGTGGGTGTGGGTGTGTGTGGGTGTGTGTGGGTGTGGGTGTGTGTGG